TTTTTATCTCTTATTTTATATTTAACATTAATTTGATTAAATAATAAATGATTATTTCTTTTCTGTTTTGTTATTTTAAATTAACATATTTTGAAACACTTATCACTGAATTTAATTATAAGAAGATTCAAACAGAATAAAACAAAGAGAGATTGAATAATATCATTATCAATGAAATACTAATACATTTGTTAAATAGATTAAAATAGTATTTCATATTACAGTGTTGAATATCATTATTCAATATTGATAATAACATCATTTCACTCATTGTTAGTTGTTTGAAATACACTTATTCTTTAATTTGTTTTTTTTTTGTTTTTCTATTCTTTTGTATTTCAATTAAACCATATTGAATATTTTCATTTGCTATTATTCATTATGGTTTGAAATTATATCATTAACAAATCATATTTCTTATTCTTTTATATTCATTTGTTTATTGTTTACAAAATTACTATGTTTTATCTTTTTCTTTATATACAACAATATCTCATTCCATATCATTTTTAAACAAATAATTATCTGATTAATTATTTTAATACACACAGTTATTCTTTAATGTCTTTTTCTTCATTCCTTTCTTTCTTATTTTTGATTCTATTGAAAATACAAATCCAATTAATTCAATTATATAATACTCAGTTGATTCAATTTTAGAACTAACATATCCTCCAAATTTATTTCCTTTTTCATTTCAATAATAATTATTATATGTTCTTTATTCAATACATAATAATTATTATATGTTCTTTATTCTTTGATCAAATACTGGTGTATAAACGCTCCAATCATCTTTATCTGAATCAAGTATTATATTTCCTACTTTTCTATTTGTCCATTCTTCTTTTTGATGAATTTATTCTCATTCTTCTCATTCTCTCTTCCTCTTGTTTCTGCATCTTTTTAATACTTCCTAAATAATATTGATAATTCTTATTAACATCATCAATTGATTGTTGGCTTTGTGGAAGTGTTTCTAATACTTCTTTAATTAATTGATTATTAACTATTCTATTTTTATTTTTGATTGATGTCTATTCAAAATATGAACGTTTAAATAGTTAATACATGTTATTAACCCATCAAGTCAAGTATTATTTTATCATTTTATCAAATGTTATTCATTTTTATTGTTTTTATAATAACAATAAG